TCGCCATGCTCCTCCCTTCCTCCCCCTCTTCCCCCTCTTCCTCCTCCTTCCTCCTCCCCCTCCCCCTCTCTTTCATTCCCGTCCTCCTCGGATAACTCCTCCATCGTCCCCCTCTTGGGGTATGAAGGCTCCCCCCAGCCCTTTATTCCAGTGCATGCTTCTGCACGTCCCTGATCAAGGCAACTCGCCTGGGCATCGTTTCTGGATGGGCTGGTGTGGTTACGCGAAGCGTATGAAATAAGGGATGCACCTCGATATTTGACGCAATAACGGGGCTTAGCCTAGACTTCGATCTCGTGCCCCCGAAGCACCAGTACCGACTTCCAATGACCAGCGATTAGCTTCAGCTGCTTAAGATTTTTTTGGGAGACCGCGTGGGGTGGAAGAGCCATCTTCTCCGACATCGCGATTTCCTCGTTGTGTGGGCCCCTGTGGATCTCGACCCCGTGCCCGGGGCCGGCTCTTCGTCCAGCTGGCTGTGAGGCCCTGGGGCCGGGAGGCAGCCTCTGGAGGCCGAAGGCGTATAGCAAGCTGCCACCACGAGCTTTTGCTTGCGACGCCGAGTTCTGAGGTCTCTGCTGTGCGGGGCTTGCGACAAGTGGATCGCGCGCGCGTGGACTGGCACGGCCCTCGTTGGGCGGCCAGAGCAAGCGTGCGGGGTGGCATGTGTTGGCCCAGGCGTCCGGCGTCTCTCGGTTTTTCGAGATACAGGCCCCGCCCTCTCGAACACTTCCCTGGAAGTAGTTGTTCATCCAGAACACTTGTTTCACGGTTCCGGGCCTGGTACGTAAGGACCCCGAGAAGCCGAAAACGATGAGCAACCTCCGTCTCGATTTTCTCGAAACGACGGATGTCTGGGTTCGGGCGGGGTGATATGCGGCGGGTTCCGGAAACCTTGACCCCCAACCAAATGTTGTCATCTCTTGGGGGCGCATCTTTACTTCCGCCGCTTTCCGCTGGCCCTCCGCTGGCGGAGGCGGCCTCGTTTGAGTTACTTCCGTCGCCTTCCGCCGAGGAAGAGATACCAACTCCTTCGATCCTCGAAGGCGGAGGGGCCCTTCTGGAAAGCCTCCCGTGGTGGGGTGCGTGCTGAGCAGTGTGGGCCGAGGAACGGTCAGGGGAAAGAAACCTCCCGCTCCCACTCCCATGCTGCTGCTGCTGCTGCTGCTCCGCCTGACCTGCTCCTCCTCCTTCTTCCTTCTCTTCCGCTATCTCCCCCTCCTCCTCCTCTCCCTTCGCCCACTCCTCCTCCTCCTCCTCCTCCTCCTCTTCCTCCTCCTCCTCCTCCTCCTTCTCCTCTTCCTCTCCCTCCCCCTCCTCCTCCTCCTCTCCCTTCGCCCACTCCTCCTCCTCCTCCTCCTCCTCCTCCTTCTCCTCCCTCTCCTCCTCCTCCTCCTCCTCCTCCTCTTCCTCCTCCTCCTCCTTCCCTCCTTCACCCTCCTCCTCCTCCTCCTCCTTCCCTCCTCCTCCTCCTCCTCCTCCTCCTCCTCTTTCACCTCCTCCTTCTCCTCCTCCTCTTCTCGTATTCCTCCCCCTTCCCCCCCCTCCTCCTCCGCCTCCTCCTCCTCCTCGTCTCCTCATCGTCCTCCTCATCGTCCTCCTCCTCCTCCTCCTCCTCCTCCTCCTCCTCCCTCCTCCCTGCCTCCTCCCTCCTTCCCTCCCTCCTCCCCCCTCCTCCCTTCCTCTCCTTCCTCCTCCTCCCTCCTCCCTCCTCCCCCCTCCCTCCTCCTCCCTCCTCCTCCTCCTCCTCCCTCCTCCTCCTCCTCCTCCTCCTCCTGCTCCTGCTCCTCCTCCTCTCCTGCTCCTCTTCCTCCTGGTCCTCCTCCTCCTCCTCCTCCTCCTCTTCCTCCTCCTACTCCTCCTCCGCTTCCTCCTCCTCCTCCTTCCTCCTTCCTCCTCCTCCTCCTCCTCCTCCTCGTCCTCCTCCTCCTCCTCCTCCTCCCTCCTCCCCTCCCCCCCTGCCCTTACCCCTTCTCCCTCCCCGTCGTCGTGCCGCTGTCGTCCTCCTGCTCCTCCCCCTCCCCCTCCCCCTCCCAAACCAACTGCTGCTGCTCCTCCGACTCCTCGGGTAAGGGACAAAAAGGTAGAACCCCTTCAGGTTCCACAGGTTCAAAGTTGGGTCGGGCCTCGCGGAGGCCCTGGGGGTTCCACTGTTGTTCCTCTCACGCCTGTGCTGCCGAATGCCTGGGACCAACTTTGAATATGGGGGAGGGGGAGGCGGCGGAGTCAAGGGTTCCACCTCTTTGTCCATCCACGGGCCCCCTCCCCCCTCCCCCTCCTCCTGCTGCTGCTTCTCCTCCTCCGCCTCTTTTCGAACGTCGTGGTCCTCGGGAGACCCGCTGCTGGCCCCAGGGCCATGCAACAAACACAGCCCAGGAGGAGAGGCTGGCCACAGGGACTGCGCCGAGGACTCCAGGGACCCGAGGTCGCTGGCAAGCCATTGCGCCGAATGGCTGGGCAGGCGGGCTCCTCCCCTCTGGCCTGCGGGCCGCGTCCCCTGACCAAGATCGGGGGGAACAAAAACTGCGACGGCCGCTCCCGGCCAACTTCGCGCTGCCAGGGTGGCGGGCGCGTGCAAGGTCACGGCGCAGTGCAAACAGGAGGAGGAGGAGGAGGAGGAGGAGGAGGAGGAGGAGGAGAGACGATAGTGGGAAGGGCGGCATGGCTTTATGCGGGCGTGGGTTGGCGTCAAGCCCAAACTTCTTGGAGAAGATCACTGTTTCCTCGGCAGCGCTGGCGGTCGCAAGCGCGCCTGCTGAGCCAGCGGGCCGCTCCAGGCACTGGGCACACTACAACCTCGTGCGAAACAATTGGTGTTTGGTGAGCCGCCCGGCCCCCCCATTTCAATGTTGATCGGGCGACCAGCGAAGTTCGAAAAAACAAATCGGCACCGCATTGAACGTTGAAATTGTCCCCCCTTTTCACTTTCCAGTCTAGGACTCGGTGCCTGACCAAGAATGTCCACTCACGTGTCACACCGTGTCCGTGACACGCGAGAGGACTCTCCTGGTCAGGCACCGAGTCCTAGACTGGAGAGTGAAAAGGGAGGCCCGAGAACGAGGGAGGGCGAGTGGGAGAAGAGGGAAGTGGAGGAGGAGGAGGAGGAGGAGGAGGAGGAGGAGGAGGAGGAGGAGGAGGAGGAGGCGGAGGAGGAGGAGGAGGAGAAGGTAGGAGGTGGAGTGGACGAGGCAGCGCTGAACTGAACTGGTGGCCGTGAGCGGGTAGCTTCTGCAACCGAATCGGCCGACCGAACTGGCTGGAACCAGACCAGCCAATTCGGACCGGCCTGGCCGAGTGGGGCCCGGTGGGGCCGCGTGGTGCCGGTGGGGCCGAGTGGGGCCGAGTGGAGCCCAGTGGGGCACTGAGGGCACTGGTGGAGCCGAGTGGGGCCCAGTGGGGCCCGAAAAAGCCTAATACGGTCTGGTTGGGCCCAGTGGGGCCGGGAGGGTTCCGTTGGGGCCTGGAGTGTCCATGTGTGGTCTGGTCGGGCGCGGTGGGTCCGGTGGGGCCGTTGCACAGGTGAGAAATGGGCCGGGGAGAGGCCAGCATAGAGCAATCGAAGGCCCAATGCGCCACCCGTTCCCCCTCCCGTGCGCGCGCTTTCCTTTCGAACGGCCCCCAAGGGGAGGGGGAGGAGGAGGAGGAGGAGGAGGAGGAGGAGGAGGAGGAGGAGGAGGAGGAGGAGGAGGAGGAGGAGGAGGAGGAGGAGGGGGAGGGGGGGAGGAGGAGGAGGAGGAGGAGGAGGAGGAGGAGGAGGAGGAGGACGAGGAGGAGGAGGAGGAGCAGGAGGAGGAGGAGGAGGACCATGGATTTCTGTCCACTACGGAGAGGGACCGCTGGACACATGAGCGCCCTATGCGCCCGCCATCCAAACGAACGCCTCGTTAGGAACAACTGTCCGCCCACCATTCGTCTATCTGTGCAGATGCAAGACGGCATGATAACACAGACACAGATCACGGATCCGTCTAAACAACCAATCTAATCAAGAACCGCCCTCCATCCATGTGACTATTGCGCAGCTGAAGGTGTCGGGTGCTGTGAGGCGGACTCCACCCAACGCTCCAGTTTGATCAAGGGCCATACTCCATGCGCCTTCCTGTAGCGCAAATGCGAACTTCTTGTAATGTGCGCAGAACATGTATTAAACGTCATCCTTATATGGGCAACATCATAACGCCTTCCATCCGTGTCGCCGTTGCGAAGCTGCACGTGTCGGGTAATAGGGTGTGAGGAAGTCTCAAGTCAACGTCCAGTTTTGAGTAAAAGTCATGCTCAATACGTCTCGCTGTCGCACACATGCAACCTTGCAGTCACATGAACTGTCAACACCTAAAACAAACAAATCATACAAACAACTCACCGCCTTCCGTCTGTGTAGCTGTTCGTGCGTTTAGTGCGAGCGTGCGTGGCGCCAGGGCGAGGTAATCATCTAAAAAACGAAGCGGTTTCCCAACGTACAACTTAGGGAATGCTCGAAACGACGTCAAACGATAACTTCTTCATTTCAAAATCGACCCGCGGTCCATCCGTGTAGCTGGTGGAAGCTTCTGAGACGAATGTGCGAGATGCCAAAGCGAGAGCCTCATGCTAAAAGGCAATACGCCCTCCATGTGCATGGCTGTTGGGAACTTCTAGGACGAACGCACGCAACGCCAATGAGAAAACCTCACTTCGAAAACCAACCGCCCTCCATCCGTGTAGCTGTTAGAAGCTTAAACATTCAGGACCCCAAATAATCAGACATTCCAGGCGGACCGCCCAGATCGTCATACCGACACGTCTGACGGTGCGACGGGGAGAGCTTCCCCCCACTTTCAAGTGTGGCGTCGCCAAGTTCAAGTGCACGACAAACGAGGGGCGTTCGATTATAAGCAGTGGCTTGCACGATCCCAGCAGCGAGGAAAATATGTTGAGCACTGGTCGATTTCCCTCCCTCCCTCCCGACATCCTCTCCTCCAACCCCGTGCACGCAGCGAACGCTTAGCGCACAGAGAGACAATAATCCTCTTGATGCCCTTCACGACGTCGTACCACGTGCCTCAGCTGAGGAGCCCAAAGTCCACGCTCACGACTACTTCCATACATTCCTTGCTCCCTCGTCGTCGATGTTGCCGACGCCGCCGCCATACCCTTCCTCCTGCTCCTCCAGCCACTCCTCCAGCTCCTCCTTCATCGCGGGTAATCTTGGGACCCCTCTTGAGTCGCATTGCGGCCATGGGGTCATGTTCTGACAGTTAGGTTCACGGGGTATCCTTGGATCCTCCCTGAGGCCTTATTTGGGGCAGAGGGCATCTGTGGTCGTCTGGGGTTATTGTGTCATCTTGGGGTGCACTTGAAATCATCTTCAAGTCATGGGGTCGTTTTGGGGTCGCCGTCTTGGGGTCATGAGGCCATTCTGGGGTCCTCATAATTAGAGGCCATTGTTCGGTTCGCCTTGGAAGCACCGTGGGCCCGGGAGGTCGCCCTAGGAAATCGCATAGGGAGCTCGCGGGGTCACCTACAAAACTAGAAAATTTGGCTCATCATGGGGTGACACCAGGATCACCTTGAGGTTGTCTTGATGTCATCATGGGATAATCAGAAAGAGGGGGCCGGAGGGTCATTCACTGTTCTTGGGTGCGTGGCTGAAGTGGGGTTCAGCGGTGGAGATTGTCGTTGCGTTGTTGCTGCTGCTGTTGTTGTTGCTGTTGTTGAATTCTCATTTCGCAAGAATTATTATCGCTCATCTCCCCTCCAGCAACCATTGTTTTTCAATTAAAAGCTTCTCCCATGGGATCCAACATCCTTGAACTTTTCTTTCCCAACCATCCTGTGGTGTTGGGTCCTCGTTTTGAAAAGACAGCGCCCGGCGTCTCCTCCTTCCTTCCTCCACGCCCCTCCTCCCTCCTCCCTCTCCTTGCCTCTACCCTGCGTACCCCCCCCCGCCCCCTCCTCCCCCTTCTCCATCACCATTCCTTGGGTCCTCCTCCTCCTCCTCCTCTTCCTCCTCCTCCCCCCTCCTCCTCTCACCTCCTCCCATTATCATCCCATCATCCCATCATTATCGTCGTCGTCGTCGTCATCATCATCACCATCATTATCATCATCAGCATCCTCCTCCTCCTCATCATCATCATCATCATCATCATCAACATCATCATCACCATCACCATCACCATCACCACCATCATCGTCATCATCACCATCATCATCACCATCATCATCACAACCATCACCATCGCCATCATCATCATCATCATCATCATCGTCATCAACCTCATCATTAACATCATCATCATCATCATCATCATCATCATCATCATCATCACCATCACCGTCATCGTCATCGTCATCGTCATCGTCATCGTCATCGTCATCATCATCATCATCATCATCATCATCATCATCATCCGCATCAGCATCATCATATCATCGTCATCACCACCATCATCACCGTCACCGTCATCATCATTCTTATTATGAACATCAACACAATCAGCATCATCGTCATCATCACCATCATCATCTTCTCAGCATTACCATCAATGTCATCATCGTGGCCACAGAGGGAGCTCCACCGAAGGTCCCAGTAGCGTAGTTCGCATGCGCCCCCCCCGCCCCGTACAGTGTCCCGTGGCCTCTGAGGCAGCTCCTCCGAAGGGCCCAGTGGCGCAGTTCGCATGCGTCCCCCCCGCCGAGTACAGCGTTTCGTGGGCCCAGAGGGGGCTCCACCGAAGGCCCCAGTGGCGCAGTTCGCATGCGTCCCCCCACCCAGTACAATGTGTCGTGGCCCCAGAGGGAGCTCCACCGAAAGGCCCAGTGGAGCAGGTCGCACGCGCCCCCCCTGCCCAGTGCAGCGTGTCGTGACCACAGAGGCAGCTCCACCGAAGGTCTCAGTGGCGCAGTTCGCATGCTTCCCCCCCCGCCCCAATACAGCGTTTCGTGGCCTCCGAGGCAGCTTCACCGCCCCAGTGGCGCAGTTCGCATGCGTCGCCCCCGCCCAGTACAGCGTGTCGTGGCCCCCGAGGGACTCCACTGAAGGTCTCAGTGGCGCAGCTCGCATGCGCCCCCCCCGCCCAGTTCAGCGTGTCGTGGCCCCAGATGGAGCTCCACCGAAGGTCCCAGTGGCGCAGTTCGCATGCGTCTCCCCCACCCAATACGGCGTTTCGTGGCCTCATAAGGAGCTCCACGGAAGACGATATCCACAACTGCGGTACTCACAACTGCACATGCTTTGGTTCATCGCCACACGTTTTCTTTGCATTCTCGCCTGTTCGCTTCCGAGAGGCCCAGAAATGTCGCAGGACGACTCCAAGATCGCCCAAGCGACAATTCTCGTCTGTGCGCGCCCCATGTTTGATCGATGTCCTCCAAGATGGCTCCAAGATGTCTCCAAATAGAGCCCCAAGAGGGCCCCGAAGGCTATACAGATGTCTCGAAGAAAACTCCAAGATGCCCCCAGAGCAGAAGATCTGTGAAGGCCCTTTCGTCGTCGTGGTCGCCGTCTCCTCCCACTCCTCCTCCCACTCCTCCTCCTCCTCCTCTTCCTCCTCCTCCGCCCACCTCCACCTCTTCCTCCTCGAAATTGGGTGGGAACGTGTACCGTCAACAACATATTCCTTCTGCTCGCCCTCCTCCTCCTCCTCCTCCTCTTCTTCTTCCTCCTCCTGCTTCATCCTCCTCCCTCCTCCTCCCTCCTCCTCCTCGAACTTCTCGTCTTCTTCTTCTTCTTCTTCTTCTTCTTCTTCCGTCGAGATATCCGCGAAAACATGTATGTCCACTCCTGGACTGCGTGCTCGAATACCCCTGATCAGAACGAATCGCCCAAAGTTCGCTTCCGCACGGGCTGATGGAGACACGCGAACCGCCAGCAATCTGGCCCGCTCGGAAACTGGATTGGGTTCAACCCCAGGTCCGGCTCGGCAGCAGAACGGTCGATGCAGGATCAGTCAAAACGAGAAATCTGATCGAATCGGACTGTGCGTCGGATCGGGCCGCATCGGCACGGAGTCTCGAAATCGAATCGGATCGGCCGCGACAAGACGCACAAAAGCGCCATGCAAGCGTCGGGCCGCATCGGATCGTCGTAACAACGGAGCAGTCGAACTGGATCGGGCTGGCCGAATGGGCCCTGGTCTCGGGCGGAAAGTGGGTCTGGGGCAGTATGCCGGCCGACCCGGCGCCATGACCCCTTCTCTGGCCGCCCCTGCTGGGCTGGGGCGGGCGCTGATGCAGAAGTCCACCAGCCCGCGGTCGGTCTCGCGCACCTCGGATTCTTTTTCTGGTGCACGTGTGGCCGAGGGGGAAGGGTAGATGAAGAGGCATCACCGATGTCAGACTTTTCTTTGCCGTGCCACTGGAGCGCCGGCTACGACTGCAGCACTTCGAGCAGCACGCATTGCGACCCTGCTGGCGAAGATGCGTTGACCACGCAACAATGGCGGTGTGGCACCGAGCCGGGCGCAGTGTGACAACAAATGACTGGAACAGAAGCACGCTTCATCGCTGGGACATTCATTCTTTGAGCACCTCACAATCGAGCTCCGGATCGCTCCGCATCGCCGTGCATTGGCGATGCGGCGCGATCCTCCGACCCCTCCTGCTCGGGTGGGAATTCGCCAGAGGCCATCGGACTACTGGAGGTCTCCAGAAGCTCCCGCGGGGTCCCTGGAGGTCGATCCCAGGAGACTTGCCTTGAAAAAGGCCAGAGGCGCGCAGAAATGGTGAAACGATTAAGAAGACCACTAGCCCACTCTGGCTCCATTTTGAAAGTCTCCAGTCCTCCTTTCTCTCGATGTCCTATTGTTCCACTTTCTTTCCGAGGCTCCTGAAAACCAAGAACAGATACTCTGCCCTCGCGCTGACCCCATCTCCCCTCACTCACGGGTGGGCCCAACGGGTCGCAGTGAACTTTTGCGCAAGCCTCGTGAAGGTCTTCGCGCCATGCGCCGCGGGATGCCTACACTCCGAACTGAGGATCTTCTGCTGCTTTGAGGAGCCCTCCTTCCTATCTCCCTCCTCCAATGCAGGGGGATGCGAACACCATTCGGTACGTATACTGGCCGCGCTCGCGCTGCGCGGCGGTGCGGGCCCGACCCGTGCCCTGGGCACTCCTGCAAGCGTGCTGCTCGCTGCGGCGTCGCAACAGAGGAACCTCCCGCGTCGAGACCACCGTGGGAACCTCGCGCGTTTACGAAGCCAAGGCCGAAGATCGATTACTTTTGGGCGTATCGCTTTCTCCAGAACTGTGAGCTGCAATATCTCGGCAGCGCACCTGCTGTGGCCTCACCGCGTGCACGGAGGTCCCATTCGGAAGTCGGGGAGTGAGATCGCAGTGGAACGGAGAGCCCCCCACCGGGAAATCGGTTTCGGTGTCGTTTTCGTGTCGTGCGTGCGAGGCGAAGCTGCGTAGGCGCACGAGAGGAAGGATCACACCGTCGCGAAAGCGATTCGGATGCAAAAGTCTGGCCCTCCGTGGGCGCGCGGTGGCTCTGGGTGTCCCGCCGTTGTGTCTCGCGGTGTCCAGATGGTGTCCCGCGGTGTCTCGCCGTGGGCGCGCGGAGGAATGATCCCGCCGTCGCGAAAGCGATTCGGATGTAAAAATCTGGACCTCTGGTGGGCGCGCGGTGGCTGGGGGTGTTCCGCCGTGGTGTCCCGCATTGTCCCGATGGTGTCCCGCGTGTCCCGCCGTGTTGTCCCGATGGTGTCTCGCGGTGTCCCCTTGTGTTCCGTGGTGTCCCGCGGTTTCCCAATGGTGTCCCGCGGTGTCCCGCTGTGTTCCGATGGTGTCCCGCGGTGTCCCGCCGTGCTGTCCCGATGGTGTCCCAATCGATAGCGAGATCGATCGTGAGATCGACAACGACCGAGGTGTGGTGAGATCGGTAGTGGGATCGATAGATGGATCGATTGTGAGATCGGTAGTTGCATCGATCGTGCGAGCGGCAATGAGTCCGATGGTGAGATCGATAGTTGCATCGTTTATGCAACCGATAGTGCGGCCGATAGTGTGATCGCCTGCGAGATCGACCGTGATCGCTTCAGAGATCGAATGAAATCGAAAATCCGCCGACCCCATCGGCGTGTGTGAGGGGCTTGTCCGTTCGAGTCGTCCTCTTCGTCATTCGTGAGTCGTCGTCTCTGCTGGCTCCTTTCCCTGCGGCCCACATTTCCCTGGGCCCGTCGCCGCTCCAACCCTTTTCCTGGGCCCTCCTCCCCAAGCGCGCCAGCCAAAGAGAAATTGAGTAACGTCGTAATTCAATCGAAGGGGATCCCCCTTTCTTTGATCCCTCCTTCGTCGTAATTTCAATCGAAAGGAACCCCCTTGCTTTGATCCCTCCCCCGGAGGAGTGGGGGGTTCCCGGGGGGGGGGTCCCGGGAGGTGTCCCTAGAGGGGGGGAGGATCCGGGTGCGATCCCGAGGGGAGTCTCGGGGGGGATCGCGGGAGAGATAGGACTCCCCCGGGGGGGTCGCCACCCAAATACGCATCCCTCCCAGGGGATCCCGGGTCCCGAAAAAGCCCCCGGACGGGCCAAGAGTGCCCGAAGAGGTCCCCATACGGTCCAAGAAAGCCCCAAATTCGCCGAATGATCTGTCCAAGACGCCTTGGCGGCCTCCAAACGGCCCATGGGGCCTGCAAGACGCCCCAAGAGGCCTCCAGGAGCACTCCCAAGAAAGCCCCAAGAAGCACAATTCAGCAATTTCCCGTAGGTTTTTGACAGATTTTGGCGTTCTCGTTCCCGACGCTCCAAGACGGCCCAAAAGGCCCCCCAAATCGCACCAAGACGGCCCAAAGTCTCCCAAGAGGTTCCCAACATGACCTAAGAGGGCCCCAAGACGGCATGAGACGCCTCCAAGACAGGCTAAGAGGCACCCAAGACGGCTCCCAGAGGGTGCCCAGACGGGGGACCCGAACGAACATCTCGAGCCCTCGCTCCTGAGAAGCTCTCAGGATGCCCCACGATGCCTCCAAGACGCCCCAAAGAAGACCCCAGGAAGCCCCTGGAGGCCCCCAAGGGGCTCTCAAGAGGCCTCCCCAAGAGTCTCCCAAAACGCCACCAGATTGCCCACCAGAGGCCTCCGAAAGCGCTCTGAAGAGACCCCGACAAGCATCCTCTCCGCCTCCTGCTCCTCACCCTACTCCTCCTGTTTCTCCGCCTCGTCTTCATCCTCCTCCACCTGCTCATTGCCCTTCTCGACCTCCTTCTGCCCCATCTCCCCCTCCTCCGCATGCTCTTCCTCATCCTCCCCCTCCTGCTCCACGGCGTCTTCCTCCTGCTCCTCGTGCTTTTCCTCCTCCTCCTCCTCCTCCTCGCCCTTTCCCTCCTCCTACTCCCCCTCCTTCGCATCCTTCTCCTCATCATCCTTACGTATCCTCCTGATCATCCTCCTCATCATGCTCCCCCCCTCCCCCGCATGCTCTTCCCCCAGTGCTCCGCAACCTTACCTCGACCTCGTCCTTCCCATCCTCCTCTTCCTGCTCCTCCTCCTCCTCCTCCTCCTCCTCTTCCTCCTCCTCCTTCTTTTCCTGCTCCTCTGACTCCCATCCTCCTCTTCCTCCTACTGCTCCTTTCCCCCCCCGTCCTCCCCCTGCCCCTGCTCCCCCTCCTCATCCTCCTCCGCATCCTCCTCCTCCCCCTCCTGCTGCTCCACCGCATCCTCCGCTGCTCCTGCTCCTCGTCCTCTTCAGGATCGGCGGTACCTGCCGTAAGGCCTTCACAGTAAGATAAATTTTCAAGATCGACAGTGATATCGATTGTGAGATCGACTGTGGAATCAATAGTGTGCTGCGTTGAACGAGATCGACCGAGAGATCGATCGTGAGATCGGTTGTGATATCGTTCGAGTGAGATCAGTCGTGAGATCGACTGTGGGATCGGTTCAATGGGCTCGCCTGTTTCCAGCCCTGGCGACCACTCACCGCATGGCAACCATCGCGGCCCATGTGATCACTGTCGCGGCCGGCCACTGCGGTCGTTGCTACCGCAACTGTGTGGCCCAGGCAAGCCTTCCGCACGACACCTCTGCTCCCGGGTGCCATGCCTCCGGGCGGCGCGCGCCTCCTCGCCAGCGCTCTCTCGTCACCAGGCTCTGCCAGCAGTCCGCTGCCGGGCTCTGCCAGCGGTGTCGCGAGGGAGGCACCGCGTGCCGAGCACGCGGGGTCGCGCAGGTTGGCGCAGCGTTTCGAGTACGCTGATGCCTCCAGGGCTGGCTTCGTGGAGCTCGCCCCCAAGCTGCACCATGTCGGGGCAGCAGCTGTTCGACGCTTTGCGCAGGGTGCCGAAGGTGACGCGCGTGGTGTGGCACCAGTCCAAAACCCCCAGAGTAACGTGGGCAACAGCTACATGGAGCAGCGGCCGCGCACGTGGTGAGCATCGGTCTTCGGTGTGGGTCTGCCTCTGGTGTGGGCGCAAGAGTGTCCAGCATGCAGGCCGGCCGTGCAAGACATGTAAGTGCAAACTATGCGCGCTCCAGCAACAGCGAGTGCGTAGGAACAACGGGAACGCAGAATTAGCCCCACGTCCTCCCAAGTCCTGCAGCCCAAATTATGCCAAGCTCTGTCGGCTTATGAGCCGTGCTGGCAGCTGCTCGGTCAGCGAGTCCGACGGGCTCGGGCTACTGGCGGGCAGTTCACTTGGAGGCGATGGCACGAATGCAGAGAATCATCACATCGCCATCAACACTCAACCACCACAGTCAGCAAACATCCATCACAGCGCAATGTCGGTGGCACTGATTTGGCTCGATGGGGTCCCGATGGTGTCCCGATCGTACTCAGCGCCATTCAGTGTGAGATCGCTAATGGGATCGATACTAAGACTGGCCGTGAGGTCGATAGTGAGATCGATCGAGTGAGATCTATGGCGGGGTCGATAGTGACGTCAGAACGCGGCACAACATCGTCATCATGTGTCGTCGCCAACTCGAGGGCGCGCCACCAGCATCGTCATCACCTCCCCCCTCCCCCCAACCGCCTTGTCACCCGAAGGGTGCTCGTGTAGGTACGTATACATCCCTGCGGCCACATTGCACACGCGTGCACGTGCATCTACGCATGCGCTTCCACATGCCATGTATTTGCGAGTGTACGCACACGAGCTCAGATCCCCCCCCTTCGGGGAGCCTCTGCGTTATTGCGGTCGGTGCCTGGCGGCCGCAGCGAGCGGCGAGGATGTACCTCGGTGGCCTACATGCCGCATACTGCTTGGGCACCGGGGGGACACAAACAGCACCAGACGAGGGGACTGCCCGTATGCGGGGCAGCAGGCGGTCCCAGCGGACCCCATCGAGAAGGGGACCGCGCCCGTTGTCAGCATCAGCAGGAGAAAAATGTGCATCTTGTGGTGCTCCCCTGGCGGAAGCTGGATTTCTGGTGTGGACGAAAATTCTTTGGAGCTACCTTGGTGGCAAAGGCACGCGTGTCGCAAGCTTTTTTGCAGCTGTGGCGACAGCACGCTCTGAGTGGCAAGCTGATGTTCACCCCAGGTGGCGAATGCGGCTTTCGGGGGACCCGGCGACGAGCGCATGCGATGTGCACCGCCCGTGCGGAAATCGGAAACGTCGCATCAGTATTGAAAACACATTCGTCTTGGGGCCTGACGCCGTCCTCAACGCTGGCACTTGAGAGTCCCCTCGGGTGCACAGGGCAAGCCTTGCACAATGACAGAGAGCCCCCGAGTTTAGCAGAGTCATTTTGTCGGCGAATGTTGGGCATGGCTCACCATACTCGATACCTGGTGTCGCCCTCCTATAGCGGAGGGCGGACCTGAAGGCCGGCCAACTTACAAAATGGCTCATACGTAAAAAGCATCGGCATGGTCAAGATGGTCCCCGGCGGCTCTCCAAGAGCTCCTGCACAGCTCCCAGATGCACGCGATGAAGGTCCCAAGAAAGTCCTGAGATGACTCCCACTATCACAAGAATCAGGGCTCCACAATCAAAATGACCTCAGCAACTCGTCACGAAGGCCTCTCGGGCCTCCCGGGCTTGCGGCCTCCGCCGAGCGCAACTCCGAAAAGGGGGTTAGTAAAGGGAGTGTTCGCGAATCTCCTCACATAGCAGGTTCCCCTGGCGCTTCACAGCGCAAGGGGAACCTGCTATGTGCATCGAGGACAGCGCCTGACGGCGGGGCCGAAACAAGGTGCAAACAATGGATTTCGTAACCCCACTTTCTCCACTCCCCCCCCCCCCCGTCGGTCCGACCCGACCCTCTCCCGACCCAATCCTGGACTTCTGCTTGGCCTGCCCGCCTGCCCTGACGACTCCGCCTGCCGCTTGGCAAGGGTCTCCCCCCTTCGCACAGGCGAGCATGGGGAGGAACTGCATTGGGCTGCAGGGCGGGCAAGCTCACGGCCGGGAGGCCTCGCCGTCTGGCGCGGAGCTATGGTGGCAACACCTGGCTGATAGCACGCATCCCCCCGCCCTTCGAGCAGGGGAGCGACTGCAGAGTGGATTTACCCCAGAATGGTTCTCTTCTTGTCGAATCCATGAAACATTTCGACGTCTTTCTTGTAGATTCGAAGGAGAGACTCATTTGTAGTCGATCCCCTACTCGAGTCACGCATCCCCACGCCCTGGCCCTCGCCTGGGCCTTGCTCCCTCGAGCGCCGCCCCTGACCAGCTCGCGGGCTGCCAGAAATGGCCCACTGCCCAACGGTATCACCGGCTTCTCGGGCCCTCCTGGAGCCCTCCAGGCTTCGTGCTTGAAGAGCCACGCACTTTCGGAGGTCCGTGCGCATCTCCTGGACCAGCGCTGGACCCCCCCTCCCTGGCGCGCCGAGCGCGCCAGGGGTGGCGCCGGCGGGGGGGCTTGTGCCGATCCAAGAACTCCGCGCAGAGCTCCGAAAGCTCATGCTGATGCAACAATTGCTGTCCTCGTGGGGTGGGTGCTCTCGGGAGGTCACCTGGACCGCCCTGGTAAGGTGGGACCAACACCCGAGCCCAGAGCGGCAGCCCCGCGCGGCGGCTGTCGTCCCCTCGAGCGCGAGCCTTGCTCATCATCATATTGCGCACTCCCGCGAGCTGCTTCTCCTGCGTGGGGTGTTGGGGGGGGCTGCGAGGGGTCAGCTGCGTGCGCTCCTGTGCCTCTCTGACGTGAGCAGCTCTTGCTGCCCGCAGCACGACCACAACTGCGGTACAGCGCGAGGAACGGTACCATCATCGTAACTGAAGCAAGGGGGATCGGCAAGCAATGCTACCGCCGGACTGTCCTCGCCCGTTGCCCCCCGAGTGAAACGAAGGCACTGACGAGGAGGGAGAAGAGGTGGGGGAGGGGGGAGGAGCCAAGACGAGGAGAGAGGCAGGAGAAAACCAGGCAGGCGAAAATCGGGCGACGTGAGAACCTCTTCGAAAGCGCTCCGCGAAGTCCCTGGCGGTAGCCATCGGGGATCCACTCAAAGTGAATGCAAACCCAGGTCAGCCAAACTTTACAAGAACCTGCGAGATCCAGCGGGCATCCTGCAGGACCCTGCGCCCTCACCCGGGCCAATGCGCCCCGAGATTCAATGCCCTGGCTGACCCCCGTTGGCATTGACACCCACCTCGAGGCTCCGGCAGCCAGAGTGACGACTTACTGCCGGCGTCCGATGGGGGGGCCACGGCGCGCCGCGCAGGAAGCCTGCTTCGGCCGCTGGGGGTGGGATGGACTCAGACAGGCGATGCCCTGATTTTTGTGGTGCGGGATCCCTGGGAAATCCCGACCCCTTCCCCAGGGCCGGAGTCTCATCCCGAGCTGTTTTGAACAATTTTTGACGGCCTCTGGGGCCTGGCGAGGCCCCCCGGAGGCCGAAAGCGGCCAAAAACCTCTGACTCGAGCATGTCTTTCGAATAGGGGGTCGACTACAGAATTGACTCAGCCCTAAATTGAAATTTCCGTCGACTCTATGGAGACAAGACGGATGATGTTCGTAGAAATTCGAATAGTATACGTTGTTTTCCTAGATATTCGACGAAGAAATCAATTTAGGGGTAATTCAGTTTGTAATCGGCCCCCTATTTGAGTCTTGGGGAAACGGGGGGTCAAGAAAGCGGGGGGGTCCACGACTCGACCATTGCGCAATGGGTCTTTCCGCGGCGCCTCCCGGCGCTGGAGACACCCGTGTCTCGCGCCCAGCGGCAGGTCCGAAACCCACTTTTGCACGCGCCCCTTTCCCTGCAACCATTGTAAGACGAAGCCAGGACGAGGTTAAAACCAAGTGAAGATGAATCGGGAATCCCTGAGATCCCGCGGCTCTGCAGGATGTCTCGGGCGCCGCGGCCTTCTCAGGAGCCTTCCGGAACGCTCTGAGAGTGCTCCGGAACGCTCTGGCACGGACTTCTCCTCGTCCTGGCCCCGTCCGATTCCCAAGACAGACAAGCGGAGCGAGGAGCGAGGAGGAGGAGGAGGAGGAGGAGGAGGAGCAGGAGGAACGAGGAGGAGGAGGAGGAGGAGGAGGAGCGAGGAGCGAGGAGCGAGGAGCGAGGAGGAGGAGGAGGAGGAGATCGTGCCGCGACGAGGAGCGCCGAGCCAGGAACGGATGGGGCCTGCCTGGCCACGGCGAGCCACGGCCACGGACAGGTCCCGCGACCCGGGGCCGAGGGAGCGCCTCCCGAAGTCGAGAGCCCCTCCCGAGCCCAGAGTGGTCCTGATCTCGATGCCTCGGCGGTGTCCCCCCTCTCGGGTCCGCCCTGACCCGCGGGGCAGGAGAGCCAAGGATCGAATCGGCAAGTGGGATCGGCGGTCCAAATGCATCGGATCGGCGGAAATCGGTAGCCAAGTCGGTGGAAGTCGAATCGGCGGAAATTGGTAGGCTAGTAAGACCTGCGCTGAGAAACCGACATCCTGATCGGAATCCGAAATCGATTCGGAATCGAAATGGATCGAAATCGAATCGAATCGAGTCGGAAGAATCGAACTGAGCACTGTGGGGCCACTCCGCACAGCCTTGCGGCTCATCCTCGCGGCTCCTCGAGCGGCCATCTCCCTGGGGAGAGGCAGCTCTGCGGGCCCGCGAGGCGCGAGGCGCGGCCGTACTTGGGCCCACGCTGGGTGACCTTTGGGGGCAGGCGTCCCGCTACCAGGGAACCGCATGCGAACCCTTCTCTGGCAAGTCATGGGGGCCTCCCATACCATCTTGTTGGCTCTTGCGAGTCGACGCTAATCGACGCTACATCGACTTTAATCGACGCTAGGCGACGCTAAATCGGCGCCGTCTCATCGACTACCAGACGCTACTCGACGCTAGTGCAAGTGCGACGGTACACAAGGCTCCCATGATCTGCTATCGAACGAGCCCTACCCCCGCAGGTCGGATTTCTGAAACACCAGCGGGGGTTCAGGATATAAAGGATCTCTGTAGCCAGACGAACCCCAGGGGTAGGGTTCGGTTGTGGTCGCAGACACAGCCCACTTCGGGCGCGCCGATCAGGGTGCCAAGAAGAGGGCGGCTAAGGCGCATCATGGCCCGGGGCGTCTGCGCAGAAGAGGGGCGGCCAGGGATTGCATTCAGAAGGGGCGGGGGGCGTGAAATCCTTGAGATTTCATCGCCCTGGCCATTCTATCTACACCCTTCTCGTCCTTGTTCCCCTCCTCCCAGATATCCTCCGACATGTTCTTCTCCATGCGCAACACCAGAAGTCCCGACCTCTTCCCCGGGGGCAATTTTTCGGCCCGGATCTGTTTCTGGTCCTGGGGCACGAGAATAGGCTCCGGAGGCCGAAATGAAGTGTACACGCCGCGATTGGCAGGATCACATTTTACCCACGAGACACGACGCCCACTAATCCGCAGTGACGCACGGCTCACGGCAACTACAGACACATCCAGCTCTGTGAAAAGAACAGCCTTCGACGGGAAAGCCTCCACGCAGACACTCGACAAAGGACAAGGAACCACTATGAACGCCGAAAACCGAAAGTGTTATAACACTGGTGACAAAGCGATCGGGGCGATCCCGAACAATACGCTAAACTTTCATGGCGATTGACAACATTTTATCGTCGGAAATCTGGGTTAGACGCCCCCGACCCGTGAGGGAATCAAGGCAACGTCGATACAATGCTGGCGATGCCGCGCTCCGGTGGGCGCGATGGCAAGCACAGACGATGGAAGCGAGCAGCCAGCCCGCTGCGGCGAGCACAATGACGCCAATCAGCCCACCGAAGAATTACGGCTGACGGGCGAGGCTCAACCATGTAACCGCCATCGGCAGCAAGCAGCGGCCGGCCAGGGGGAAGAGGATGCGTGAGAGAAGCATGCGGCGAAAGACGCAGGAAAGGACACGCCGCCGCGCCGTTGACGGATTCGGGCAAGATGCGACGTGGTGAGAGGGCGCTCGGGCCCGGAACATTGATTCCAGCAAGAGGACGGCCCACCGAAACGAGGAGGAGCACGAGCAGACTGCGAGACGGACGGTCGGTGCCGAGGAGGAGGAGGAGGAGGAGGAGGAGGAGGAGGAGGAAGAGACACGTCTCGTTTGCCTCGCCCTTGATGGAACCCAGATCTCCAACGACTCGGTCGGAAATTGTGGGGGTGCGAACGAACTGGCCCCGCCAAGAATGCGGTTTCGATTTCGGTACGTGTCGCGCGTTCGGGCGAGGCGAAGCTCCGCGATAGCGACGATGTGTCGGCGTAGATAGAGCCAAACGTGGCGCAGAACAAGTATGCCTTGTGTCTGGCAAATATCTCTAGGGTCGTGTCATGGGTTGTTCTGCGGGTTGTCCCGTGGTTGTCCCATGATTTTCCTGTGTTTGTCCCGTGGGGTGTCCATTGGTTGTCTTGTGATTGTCCCATGGGTTGTCCCGAAGTTGTCCCATGATTTCCCTGCGAATTGTCTCGCGGCTTGCAGAACCGTGGCTTGTCCTGTGGTTGTCATGGTTGTCCCGCAAGTTGTCTTGTGGTTACCCTGTGGCTGTCTCGTGGGTTATCCTGTGGTTATCCCGTGTGCTGTCCCGTGGTTGTCCAGTGGTTACCCCTTGGGTTGTCCTGTGGGTTGTCTTGTCGTCCCGTGGGTTGTCTCGTGGGTTGCCCCGTGGGCAATGCAGATCCAAGTGACTGTTCCCTTGCTGGGTACACATAACGTGACAGACCATGACCACACAGGTATACCTACATAGATCGTACGACAGACATATATATATATATGTATATATATATATTTATAGATATCACCCAAATTTCTGATAGAGGTCCCATATAGGTGGAAGATGGTAAATCGATGCACCCGAATGACGCTCAACTACTATTGTTGAAAAAGGCGAACGAGCAGGTACAGGGAAATACGAGAACGGCGTAGGGAGGAGTGACAAGATTTAAGCAGAGAGTGTACCTGTTACCAGGCAAGAAACATGGGCAATGAAGAATACTCGTAATCCGTTAACAAGCGCCCCCTAGTTCCAATGTGTTCAAGCGCTTTTCGTGGAAGGAGGGGGGTCCGGTGCATTAGGGCGGTTTCTTCAACTCGAAGCTTCGGGGGTCCAGTTTATCAGGGTGCCTTCGCGTGCATTTTCTTCTGCTTAAAGCTATGCGGATGTTCGTGCGGCTTCTTTTTTCGTGGCTGCCGATTTGCGAGCCATCATATTCAGCAGCATCATCACCCCTACAATCATCATCATCATCATCATCACCACCATCATAATCATCGTTATCATAATCAACATCGTCATCATCATCATCGTCATCCTCATGATCATCATCATCATGAACATCCTCACCAACATCATCATACTATTTATCTTCATTCTCATCATGATCAACATCAACATCACTATCAACATCATTATTGTCATCATCGTCATCGTCATCGTCATCGTCATCGTCATCAACATCATCTTTATCGCATGATTTTCACTAGCGTCGCCGTCGTTATCAACACAATAAATCGTCATCACAATCACCGCAACCACCGTCACTATCATCACCGCGTTCGCAACGCGGTCCGTTGCCGTCCCTTTCACCCTCTCGGCCGACATCATGAATTACACATGCCATTGCAGAAAAGGGTTCCGGAAGAATTAAAGTTTCATCCTTTGAGGGCCGGGAAATTAAGCTGCAATTGAAGGGGAGGTCCAGTCTTTTAGAGGGGGACGTTTATTAATGGATTACGAATATGCGGGGTGCAACTTCAGATCTGTCCAATTGACAAAGCATGCGCGCTTCAATTTGTCACACGTTACCCATTTCACTGTAGTAGAACGGTTCTCGAATACACTGGGGGCCAGCGCCACAGAGAGGGAGAAACAGAGAGAATGAGACACATACGAGCACATATTAGAAACCGATTATCCAAAATCTTTACCTTTCCAACTTTCTGGAGCTGAACCGTTGCTGAACCGACGTGGTCGCCACAGATGGTGTGGTCGGCCCTCTTTCTGTCTGTCTGTCTGTCTGTCTCTGTCTGTCTCTCTCTCTCTCTCTCTCTTTCTTTCTACCTCCATGTACATCTCAAAAGTCAGAGATGGAGGTGGAGGATGATAACGAGGAAGAGAGGGAGAACGAGTAAGAGAAAACGACTGGACAGACCGAGGAGACTGATATTGAGGTGTGACGCATCTCTCTCTCTCTCTCTTTCTCTTCCCTCTCTCAGAATAGAAAAGCAACATATTCTGGGGATCCTGGTGTTTGTAGAGCAAGGCCTCCGCCTCCTGGAGCTCCTTCTCGTACTTCTCCCGCATCGCTCTCGTCTCCTGGAAGGCGAAGCATTTTAATTCAAGTCTAAATGCATACCCTGGCAGGAACTATCGACTGCGAGACAATTCGTGGGCACACAATTCCATAACCCTGACCGGACAAGAACGGGAAGCGCCGTTTTTGTCCACCAAGCGTGTCAGAGAACGTATGGTGGAGAACGTCAACGAAACCTAGAAACGCAACACAACAAATTAAGACTGTCGGTTTATTGCGATGGCCTGCCGCGCTAGTCTGCCGTACTGGTCTGTCGAGCTAATCTGCCGCCCTGGGCACATGATGGACTTCGCGGGCCGTCTAAGGCTCTTGGGGCTCTCTTGGGCTCTCTGGGGCCCTCTGAGGAACCTTGTGAAAGCCTGGGGGCCCGTTGTGAGCCTTTTGGGAGCCTGTTGGGGGCTTCTGTAAGACTCTTGGACTGTCCAGGCGCGTCTCGAGGGTCTGCGGGGGCTCTCTCGGGCTGCCTTGGCGTTCTCTTGGACTGTCTGGGGGCTCTCTTAGGCAGTCCCAGGGCCTCTTCGGGCGCTCTTGGGGGCCTCTGGGCGCCTCTTGGGGGCCTCTTGGAGGTCTCGTGGGGTGCTTTGGGTGTCCTCTGGGGGGCCTTCGGGGGCTTTCTTGGGCCGTTTTGGAGCCCTCCAGGAGCCATTCCAAGATCATGTGGTTTCGGAGCCCCCTCCAGAGCCGTTGTTTGAGGATGTCTTGAGCGAAACGGCAATTTTTCCGGAACCAGACCGGACAAGAACGGGAAGCGTCCTTTGTGTCCTGGGCTTATGGGATATCCTACGTTCTTAGTATGCGGTGCGCGAGTCTGTCGTGGCGTGCGTGCGTTTGCGCGTGCGCGTGCGTGCGTGGAGTATGTACATGTGTGTCCGCGCGTGGTGGTCTGCGGCACTGCTGTGTCATGCCATGCTGCCCTGCCGTGCTCCTGCGGTCTGCGTGAACGTATGTTGCCTCTCTGTGCGCGCGTGTGTGTGTGTGCGTGTGTGTATGTGTCTGTGTGTGCGTGTGCGTGTGCGCGTGCGTGTGCCTATGTGCATGTGCCTATGTGCGTCGGCCTGTGGGTGCGGCTGTGTGAATAGATGTTCTATGTGCTCTGCCGTGCTCCTGCCTGTTCTGCCGTGCTCCTGTGTTCTGCCGTGCTCCTGTGTATTCTGCCATGGTCCTGCTCTGCCTTGCAAAGGGTTCTGCCGTGTTCCTGTGTGTTCTTCTGTGCTCCTGTGTGTTCTGACGTGCTCCTATGTGTTTTGTGTGATCTGCCGCGCTCCTGTGTTCTGCCGTGCTCCTGTGTTATGCAGTGCTCCAGCGTGTTCTGCCGTCAATTCTGCCATGCACCTGTGTGTTCTGCCAAGCTCCTGTGTGTTCTGCCGTGCTCCTGTGTGTTCTGCCGTGCTCCTGCTTGTTCTGCCGTGTTCCTATGTGTTTTGTGTGTTCTGCCGTTCTCCTACGTGTTTCTGCCGTGCTCCTGCTTGTTCTGCCGTGCTCTGCCGTGCCCCCCCTGTTCCTGTGTTCTGCCGTGCTCCTGTGTGTTTTGCCGTGCTCCTGCTTGTTCCGCCGTGTTCCTGTATGTTATGTGTTCTGTGTGTTCTTCCGTGCACCTGCGTGTTCTGCCGTGCTCCTGTGTTTTGCGTGCCCCTATGCATTCTGTGTTCTGCCGTGCTCCTCGTGCACCTGTGTGTTCTGCCGTGCTCCTGTGTGATCTGCTGTGCTCCTGTTTGTTCTGCAATGCTCCCGTGTGTTCTTTGGGTTCTGCCGTGTTCCTGTGGGTTTTGTCGTGATCCTGTGTGTTCTCCCGCGCTCTCGCGCGTTCTGCCGTGCTTCTATGTGTTGGGCTGCCCGGTTTCTGCCCATTCCCTGAAGATGTCTCAAGCGAACAGCGTCGTTTTAACACGCATGATCTCAAATCGGCATTTTGGGCATGCCATTTTTGCGAGGGTGTCTCAGGCGATATCACTATTTCCATATGTTTGTTAAATTCGCGGTTTTCAGTTTGTGGTGGGTGTCTCAAGCGAAATGCTTGGTTTTGTGAAAGATGGTGTTGCGAACAACTCATTTTGGTGAGGATGTCTCGAGCGAAATGCTAATTTTGAGGAATCGCGAGGGTGCTCTTGGGGTCATATAGGGCCTCGTTCGGGGCTCGTTTGGGTTTGCCTCGACGCCATCAAAACATGCCACTGCGATGTCACACACATCTCTTTTTTGAGGATGCCCCTAGCGAAATCGTCATTTTGAGAAGCCTGGTTTGGGTCGTCTGGAAGCCTTTTCAAGAGCGATTCCAAGACGAGGTTAGAACAGCAGTTTCCACAACGATGTTTTTTTCTCATTTGTTGAGTATGTTCCGAGCGAAATCGTCAGTTTCGGCAGTCTCCCAGGCGCTCTGAGAGCCATCTTGAGGTCCTTCTGGGGCTCTCATTTCTTCCTCTTGAAGCACTTTAGGAACGATATCAAGACGATGTTGAGAACATTTTATTGTTTGAGGATGTCCCCAGCGAGATGCAAATGTTCTGCTGTGCTCTTTTTTCTGGTCCGCCGTGCTCCCGAGCATTTTCTGAGGATGTCCCGAGCGAAAACGCAATTTTCAACATAAGTGGCAGTAAAACACCTCCGGAGACATGTCATTTTTGTGAGGATGTCTCAGGCGGAACGCAAATTTTGCCGATGAATGAATTTCGCGGCGACCAGTTGTTCGAGAATGTCTCGAAGGAAACGCTTGTTTTTGTTGAGCGCGATGTCGCGAAGATCTAATTGTTGTGAGGATGTCTACAGCGAAATCGCTTTTCTGGGGAACCTGACCGGACAAGAACGGGAAGCGTCCTTCTGTGTCCTGGGCTTATGAAATATCCTACGTTCTTAGTCTGCGCTGCGCTGCGCAAGTCTGTCGTGGCGTGCGTGCGTTTGCGCGTGCGCGTGCGTGCGTGAAATATGAGCATATGTGTCCGTGAGTGGTGGTCTGCGGCACTGCTGTGTTATGCCGTGCTGCCCTGCCGTGCTCCTGCGGTCTGCGTGAACGTATGTTGCCTCTCTGTGCGTGCGTGTGTGTGTGTGTGTATGCGTGTGTGTGTGTGTGTGTGGTCTGTGTGTGCGTGTGCGTGTGCGTGTGCGTGTGCGTGTGCCAATGTGCGCATGCCTATGTGCGTGTGCCTGTGGGTGCGGCTGTGTAAATACATGTTCTATGTGTTCTGTCGTGCTCCTGCATGTTCTGCCGTGCTCCTGTGTGTTCTGCCGTGCTCCTGTGTATTCTGCCATGGTCCTGCTCTGCCGTGCTCCTGTGTGTTCTGCCGTGCTCCTGTGTTCTGCCGTGCTTCCGTGTGTTCTTTGGGATCTGCCGTGCTCCTGTGTGTTCTGCCGTGCTCCTGTGTGTTATGCCGTGCTCTCGCGAGTTCTGCCGTGCTGCTGGTTGTTCTGCCGTGCTCCTATGTACTCTGTGTGTTCGGCCGTGCTCCTCGTGCTCCTGCGTGTTCTGCCGTGCTCCTGTGTGTTCTGCCGCGCTCCTGCGTGTTCTGCCGACAATTCTGCCGTGCAACTGTGTGTTCTGCCGTGCTCATGCTTGTTCTGCCGCGCTCCTGCTTGTTCTGCCGTGCTCCTACGTGTTTTGCGTGTTCTGCCAAGCTCCTGCGCGTTCTGCCGTGCTCTGCCGGGAACCTCCTGCTCCTGTGATCTGCCGTGCTCCTGTGTGTTCTGCCGTGTTCCTGTGTGGTATGCCGTGTTTCTGTATGTTCTTTGTTCTGTGTGTTCTGCCGTGCACCTGCGTCTTCTGCCGTGCTCCTGTGTGTTTGCCGTGCTCCTATGCATTATGTGTTTTCTGCTGTGCTCCTCATGTTCCTGTGTGTTCTGCCGTGCTCCTGCGTCGTGTTCTGCTGTGCTCCTGTTTGTTCTGCCGTGCTCCCGTGTGTTCTTTGGGTTCTGCCGTGCTCCTGTGCGTTCTGCGGTGCTCCTGTGTGTTCTGCCGTGCTCTCGCGCGTTCTGCCGTGTTTGTGCGTGCTTGTTCTGCCGTGCTCCTGTGTTTTGCGTGTTCTGCCATGCTCCTGCGCGTTCTGCGGTGCTCTGTCGTGCTCCTCCTGCCCCTGTGTTCTGCCGTGCTCCTGTGTGTTCTGCCGTGCTCCTGTGTGTTATGTGTGTTATGCCATGTTCCTGTATGTTCTGTGTTCTGTGTGTTCTGCCGTGCTCCTGCGTGTTCTGCCGACAATTATTTGTGTTCTGCCGTGCTCCTGTGTATCATGTGTGTCCTGCCGTGCTCCTCGTGTTCCTGTGTGTCCTGCCATGCTCCTGTGTGTTCTGCTGTGCTCCCGTTTGTTCTGCCGTGCTCCCGTGTGTTCGTTGGGTTCTGCCGTGCTCCTGTGTGTTCTGCCGTGCTCCTGTGTGTTCTGCCGTGCTCTCGCGCGTTCTGCCGTGTTTGTGCGTGTTGGGCTGCTGTGATCCTGCCCATTGTCTGAAGATGCCTCAAGCGAAAGCTCAGTTTTAACACGCATGATCTTAACAAAACGTTTTCGACATACAATGTTTTTCAATCGTGTCTCAGGTGGTAGCCCTAATTTCATAGGTTTGTTATAGTCGCGGTTTTCAGTTTCTGGTGGATGTCTCATGCGAATGTTGTTGCGAAAGACGGTGTTGCGAACAACTCATGTTGGTGATGATGTCTCGAGCGAAATGCTAAAGTTGAGGAATCTCGAGGGCGCGCTTAGGGGTCATATGGGGCCTCTGTTGGGGCTTGTTTGGGGCCGCTTCGATGCCTTACAAAAAGATGACAGTGCGATGTTACACACATCTATCACTTTTTTGAGGATGTCCATAGCGAAATCGACATGTTTAGAAGGCTGCCTTGGGCCGTCTGGAAGCATTTTCAAGAGCGATTACAAGGCGAGGTTAGAACAGCAGTTTTCCAAACGATGCTGTTGTATGTTTTTTGTTTTTGAGGATGACCCTAGCGAAATCGCTACCTTTGGCAATCTCCCAGGCGTTCTTAGAGCCATCTTGATGTCCTTTTTGGTCTCTCATTTTTTCA